CTCCATCTTCTGAGATAATCGAGAAATGATTATGACTTAAAATTCGTCTTGCTTCAGTTTCCCAATGGACCGTGTTCAGACGTATGTGATTTTTTAAAAATCTCTCTCTCCCTCTAGTTTTTATTTCTCTTTCTTCTGTATGAATGTCTCTTTCATGTATTTCTGTCTCTCTTTTTTTCCCTTCTCTCCTTTTTCTTTCACTCTGTCCTGCGTATCATACCCCTTTACTTTCACATGTCTTTTTTTCCCCTTCTCCCTTTCTCTTTTTCCCACTCCCTCTCGACCCACTTACTTTATTTCCTATTTCTCCCTCTTCCATCCTCTCTCCTAACTTCCCACTATATCACTTCTCCTTATTCTTAGTTTCTCATTCTGTCTCTCCCTGTCCTTTTGTGTTGGGTTGGCTTAATATTTGACCGGCTGAATAAAACTGGGTTCAATTTGATATTGAAGGTTCACTTAAGTTCAATTTAATTGGAACCCCATTTAACCAAATCAAGCACTCTTTTGTAAAATCATTTTGACTTTGAACCAAAGAAGAGAACTATTTGTGCTGTCCATACGCTTTCTTGTACCTCTTTACTAAGGTAGGTTCCTTCTAGTGATTTTTAGAACAAAACACTGTATGGACAAGGCTTCATTCCGTAACGGCTCATAGATTCTGATCTATGACTATTGTCAAAATGTCATATATCAAGGATCATGTTGTAAAATCCATTTCCGTTCCTTCCCATCCATTGGGGTACATATTCATTTGGGGTTTGTGTTGCAAGTTGGATTCAAAGAACATGTGTATTTCTATTTCCGATACAATTTCTGACGGCGTGAGCAATGTCGTTTGCAATTTAAGGTTTAATATTTCACTCCTTTAGTCAAGTAAGAAATGAATCCTACTATAGTAGGTATTGTTTAATTATGAACTGAAATAATTATTCAGCAATGAAGTAGCAAAAAGGGCTTTTGTCTTTGCCAGTGGGTTTTTATAGTACAACCGCTTTGAACAACTCAGAATTTAGTCTGAGAGTGTTTTGTAGGATTAGCGATACGTCTTTTAGTAACTACTCTTTATCAGGAATGAGTAACTAATTTATTATTTATTATTTTTATCATCTTTCCTACGTGTTCTAAATAAATTCACTTAATGTGCATTTAAACTGTTCCGTTTTTTTTTATAGATATTTTGAGTTTACATCATAATATATCACTACTTATCTTATGATTAAAACTTTTTAATTTTACGAACAATAAACGTAAAACATATAAACATTTTTAGACGATGTCTGATACTACAAGAGAAAAATAGATCAACAAAATGTTCATTTGACTGCCATTGTGTATCTCATTTCCCCCTTCTATTACCTTTTCCTTCTTTTCCTCACTCTCTTTCTCTCTTTCTCTCTCTCTCTTCTATCTTGCATTCTTCATCTTGGTTTCTTTTTATCTTAGACTCAAGTGCGCCCTTCCTATTTATTTTGATCGCATATGTGTAATGTTTATTTCATTCATTCGTGTAAATCTATAAACTGAAACAAAATAAGTAAAGTGACACGATATTATGTTTATTTTTAAATGGAATGTCTATAAATATTAATCTGGGCAGCATATTTGTCACCATTTTAACCAGTCGCTTAATTTTATAATCAGTTTAGTCTGGTATATGTAATTCATCTTCAGATTACCAATTTTATCATTTTCTTAGGTTTTTATAAAGCTTGTTATACAGATGTGCACTATGTCGATAGCGTGATACCATTACATGAAGTGGATCCGATAACGCGCGCATTCCCGCACAAGACAAAACAACTCTCTGGTATTTGGCGCCAAAAGATAGCCAATAACACACAGAGTACCGTGGCAAAGCCTGGCACGCTGAAAGCCAAATAGCTGCGCGATGAAAGCCAAGGTATTACCAGTGTTTAAAATATGTTCTCTCGACACACCCTCTCCTTCCCCACAATACAGACTTCCAACAATCATCATGTATCCTCCCCTTTACTACACTCATCCCCTCCCCAACCCCCTTTTTTTGTCTCTGTCTCTCTCTAACACCCACACCCACACACATGCACTCACACATTCACACACACACACACACACACACACCCACTCTCTCACCTCGCTATCATTCTGTTCTGTGAACGTCTATCTTCCTATTTTCTGATATATATATATATATATATATACACACGCACACACACACACATACGTGTAATCGCCTTCATTCGAGGACTATAAACTTAAACCATCTAACCGTGGACTTCCCTAAAACCTCTTTAAATATGGATATATTTTAGGGATTTTTAAATTATTAATGATGAAAATGAAAAATATCACTTTGATTACCCCGTAACTAATTCAATTATTTTTTTTATTTTAAGCGTTAAACTGTGGACGTTAGTCACGTGATATTCATTACCATGGGGGACCGTCCACGTTTGGCGTTTTTTCTTCATGTTGAATCACGTGATCATACTTAACCCTGCACTGGAGCCAGGAGAGTCGACCTTTTGCATTCTCTTTCGTTAGATCACTTGACTATTTAGAATTATGCAACAGCAACGAAATGATCAAATGAATAAATGAATAAATAGATAAATAAATGAACGAATTCCCTGGCGCTCAAAATAATCAGAGGCGGTAGAGCGAGTTTGAAAGGGGGGCTCAACGCCTTCCCAAATCACTCCTTTATCAGCTACTTAAATGCACGCAATGTTATGCAAGGTCAAAATGTGCATTTTGACACCGAGGCTTCCGCATTTTTAAACACTGATGCCCGAGGCTTCGACATATATTTAACATTATATTGCATTACTATTAACACTTCATCATTAAGCAAAATTCGAACTCTTAAAGAACAAAGGTTGCTGCCTTACATTGTGCTATATCATGTCAAACATCTATTACTTCTTCCATTACTACTGCCACTACTACCACCACCACTACTGCTGCTACTAGGCCTACTACTACTTTTGCTACTACCACCACTACTACTACTACTACTACTACTACTACTTCTACTTCTACTATTACTACTGCTACTACTACTACGACTACCACCACTACTATAGGCCTACTACTACTGCTACTGTTACTACTACTACTTCCACAACCATTAAGATTTGATTTGCGAGTGAGCGCTTGAGAGAAAAAAAGACGAATAGTTTGATATTAGAATGTGTAATGTGGGACCGTTAAAAAGAATATAAAAGCAATGCAATTAGATTTCATTTATTTATCTACTGGAAGAAAAAGTGGTATCAGAAGAGAAAGGGGCACTATATTTGGAAAAAGAGTTCCTTACTGATAGAAAAGTTACGCCTTTTTAAGTGGAAGTGGTCACTTTTAAAGAGAAACTGACGTTATTTTAGAAGAAAATTAGAAAAGTGGATGATTTTGGAATTTGTAAGAGGAGTTTATTTATGAAAGAGAAAGGGCATCATTTTTGAAAGAGGGACACTCTTTGAAGAGAAAATGGGCGCTTTTAGAAAGGAAAGGGCCACTACTGGAAGATAAATGGGGAGATTTTCAAAGGTGATAAGGGGCTAAGTTGAAAGTGTTGGAATAGAAAGAGCCCTATAACTGAAAAAGAACAGGCTACTCTTGCAGAGAAATCTCGCCTTTTGGAAGTGGAAGGGCAACATTAGAAGAGAAATGGGGCATTATGTTTACTGAAAGTCAGTGGACTTTTAGAAGACAATAGCCGTTGGTCCGGTCAAATCACCCACGGTTCAAAGTAAGAGGGACTTCTTTTCCTTGAAATTGACAATATCATTTAAACAATAATGAACGTCTCTAAAAAGCAAAAAATAAATAAGAACAAACAGTTAAGAGGTTGATTTTGCACCCAAAAGGAGTATAATAATTTTTTAAAAAGAGAATCAGTTTTTGACCGGACCAACACAATGCACTGCCTTTACCATGTTTATTAAAGCAATAGAATTTAATCAATAAAGTTACAGTACAGTGCACTCTCTAATATCCAGCGAAATGACAATATTTTTTTTCATTCAAAATCACTTAATTTTCTGGTTCAAAATTCAAAATATTTTACTATTTTGTTGTTTTGGTGGTATTCTGAAATTTTTGTAACAAAGTAACTTTGCTGGTCCCGCAGAGTTCGTTATAACCAAAAGTACAATGTATGCCTCCTAATTTAATATTTACATGATTTAGGGTCCGTACTTGAAAAAAAAAACATGGAACAAAGATAAATCCTCAACATGTTGTGTTTATTATACGGAAAAACGAAGAAAATATGACAAGACATTGAATATTTCACACCATGTCGTGACCTATTATCATTACCCAAAGGTATCGTCAAAGAACCATTAAAAGTCGTGTGCACACCAAGTCTGCAATGAGATATGTTACCTAACGTCACTTCGAAATATTAGAAGTGAACTTATAATACTCGTTATTGATCGAATAGCATCTTAAATATAAACTGTCATCTGCTGATTAAAGCCTTCCTCAAGAGGATCGTATTGTTTAAAATGTAAAATGTTTTTTTTTACACCAATATTTCAAAATGAAATATTTCTGAGATGTGAAAGAAAGAAAAATTGCTTTTGAAAAGACTCTGACTTACAGTAATTACCCTACATTCTGTATACATTTTAAGCTTTCCATGATCAATCATTTACAGCAACCTACGCTTACCTTCATCTACTTTGTAAGAAAATGTAGAATCATACAAAAATGATTAGATGGAACACATAAAACTTTTAAATCAATGTACCTGTAATAACTTAATCAAATCAATTATGAATGCATGTAGCCATACTTCTGGCCTGAACCTACATATATTTAGCAATATTTAGCAATAAACCAAACTCATAAACAAAGATATGTCTATGACATTTTGTTTGCTAAGAAAATATGCAGAATCTCTAACAATTCTTCTGAAATGTGAGGAGCACAATCAAATTCTTTGAATGTAGCCATACCTTTATGTCTGAATATAACACAATGAAATAAATCATGAATGCATGTACCCATACTTTTGGCCTGAATCTCCATGTATTTAACAACATTTAGCAATAAACCAAACTCCAAAACAATAGGTATTTCCATAAAGGGTCTCCTTTGACCTTTCCTCATCTTAGTAAGAAAATGCTGAATCATAAATAAATGGAAAACTTAAAATGTTAAATCACTATCCATGAAGCCATACTTTTGGCCTGAACCTACATGTACATTGTACTGAGCAATATTTAGCAATAAATCAAACTTATAAACAGAGATATATCTATGACGGATCTTCTATGACTTTTTGTTTGTTTTCTAAGAAAATATGCAGAATCACTTACAATTCTTCTGAATTTTGAGGAGCACAATCAAATTCTTTGAATGTAGCCATACCTTTATGTCTGAATATAACACAATGAAATAAATCATGAATGCATGTACCCATACTTTTGGCCTGAATCTCCATGTATTTAACAACATTTAGCAATAAACCAAACTCCAAAACAATAGGTATTTCCATAAAGGGTCTCCTTTGACCTTTCCTCATCTTAGTAAGAAAATGCTGAATCATAAATAAATGGAAAACTTAAAATGTTAAATCACTATCCATGAAGCCATACTTTTGGCCTGAACCTACATGTACATTGTACTGAGCAATATTTAGCAATAAATCAAACTTATAAACAGAGATATATATCTATGACGGATCTTCTATGACTTTTTGTTTGTTTTCTAAGAAAATATGCAGAATCACTTACAATTCTTCTGAATTTTGAGGAACATCAACAAATTCTTTGAATGTAGCCATACCTTTATGTCTGAATATAACACAATGAAATTAATCATGAATGCATGTACCCATACTTTTGGCCTGAATCTCCATGTATTTAACAACATTTAGCAATAAACCAAACTCCAAAACAATAGGTATTTCCATAAAGGGTCTCCTTTGACCTTTCCTCATCTTAGTAAGAAAATGCTGAATCATAAATAAATGGAAAACTTAAAATGTTAATTCACTACCCATGTACCCATACTTTTGGCCTGAACCTACATGTACATTGTACTGAGAAATATTTAGCAATAAATCAAACTTATAAACAGAGATATATATCTATGACGGATCTTCTATGACTTTTTGTTTGTTTTCTAAGAAAATATGCAGAATCACTTACAATTCTTCTGAATTTTGAGGAACATAAACAAATTCTTTGAATGTAGCCATACCTTTATGTCTGAATATAACACAATGAAATTAATCATGAATGCATGTACCCATACTTTTGGCCTGAATCTCCATGTATTTAACAACATTTAGCAATAAACCAAACTCCAAAACAATAGGTATTTCCATAAAGGGTCTCCTTTGACCTTTTCTCATCTTAGTAAGAAAATGCTGAATCATAAATAAATGGAAAACTTAAAATGTTAAATCCCTATCCATGTACCCATACTTTTGGCCTGAACCTACATGTACATTGTACTGAGAAATATTTAGCAATAAATCAAACTTATAAACAGAGATATATATCTATGACGGATCTTCTATGACTTTTTGTTTGTTTTCTAAGAAAATATGCAGAATCACTTACAATTCTTCTGAATTTTGAGGAACATTAACAAATTCTTTGAATGTAGCCATACCTTTATGTCTGAATATAACACAATGAAATTAATCATGAATGCATGTGAGCCACTGTATGATATCTGGTTCGTTCTGGTGAGCCTTGAATTCTCTTAGGTGTCTTGGTAGCTTCTTCTGATACGATCGACAAAATGGGCAGTATGCCCCTTTGTCCCAGTGTCTCCTTTGCTGGTTGTTAGTACGTAATACTTTGATCTTTCCAGGAGAACTATGAGGTAAGTGTGCTTCAGAGCGGACATGAGATGTATCAGGATTTCTCTGCAATACATTGCTTTCTGCAGTATGTAATGGCGATTCAGAGCTGACCTGGGATGCTTCGGGATACAACACAGTAACTTTTGGTCTTTTCAATGGAATGACATAAGACCTTTCAGAAGAATTACCATCAGAGGAGTCAGATTCGTCAACTACAAAGTCAGGATCTAATGCATGATTTGAATCATCACAGTCTGATTCATGCCCAGAATCTTCCAAATCAGATGCATATTCAGAGATTTCAGAATCTGAAGCACATGGATCACTTTCAACTTCTGAGACCTGTTGAACAACCCCCAGCATCTGATGCCTGATAAATACCTCCAGCATCTAAGACCTGCTGAACAACTCCAGCATCTGATGCCTGTTGGATAACTCCAGCTTCTGATGCCTGTTGAACACCTGCAGCATCTGACGCCTGTTGAATATCTCCACCATCTGACGCCTGATTAACACCTCCAGCATCTGATGCAAGTTGGACGCTTCCAGCATCTTGTGCCTGTTGAACAATTCCGGGATCTGAGGCCTTCTGGACACCACCAGTATCTGAAGCCTGTTGGACACCTGTAGCATATGATGCCAGTACAACACCTCCAGCATTTGATGCCTGTTGGACACCTCCAGCTTCAGACACCTGTTGAACAATTTCAGCATCTGATGCCTGATAAATACATCCAGCATCTGACGCCTGTTGAACATCTCCACTATCTATCGCCTGATTAACACCTCCAGCATCTGATGCAAGTTGGACGCCTCCAGCATCTGGTGCCTGTTGAACAATTCCGGGATCTGACGCCTGCTGGACACCACCAGCATCTGATGCCTGTTGGACACCTGTAGCATATGATGCCAGTTCAACACTTCCAGCATTTGACGCCTGTTGGGCACCTCTAGCATCAGACACATGTTGAACAATTCCAGCATCTGACGCCTGTTGGACACCTCCAAAATCTGGCGCCAACTGAACACCTCTAACTTCTGATGCCTGTTGAGCACCTCCAGTATCTGATGCATTTCGATCACCTCCAGCATTCAGTGTGTATTTAGCATTATAGTCATAACGCAGTTCTTCCCCTTTTTGAATGTCTCTCAGAGCAAAGATCCCTAGATGTACTGAATCATTCATTTCTATTTTTCTGATTCTACAGTTGCAGCTCCTCCTTGATGGCCGAGAATCATTTGCATATCTTGCAAGAGACTGTGTGTAGTTGGCGGCATCTATGCTGAAAGAAAAAAAGCAGGGGGGGGGGGCAAAAGAATAGATTTATAAAAGTCAATAAACAATAACACTGTGTTCCCTTTTTACAAAGTAAAATTAGCAAGTGAAAACATACATCTGTGTTTTATATGGTCACACATTCCACTTCCAGTCTTCACATAGAGAAAACTCCTTTACAGTTAATATGACAAAGGTATTCTTTTTTACACTTTATAACAGATTAAGTGTAACATGCTCCATGTCTTAAATTCATTTCAACAGTAAAATTTGCAGGATTCATTCATTTCCCTCAGAATGTTATCAAATTGTTATTAAAGCATGTCACTATTGTACCAAACTCTAATGAAAAATGGTTAATTCCATGAACGACTGAAAAACAGGAGGACTGATAAAAAAGAGGAAAGATAAACAAACATGATGCCTCCAGCAAACTTTGTGAATATAAATCAAGCTTCTCAAATATAGCTCCTTCATAATTATTTACAGGTATGTCTAGTTTACGCTAGTCTGAAAAGTACCACATACTGCAGGCAGTAATTTTGCTGGAAATTATTACCTGTTCCCCATTCTGATAATCAGGAGAGTTTTCTTACCACATTGTTCTTCCTTTCCACTGAAAGAAGTACTTGTAATGGTGCCGCCAACTACTATAATCCCTTTCTAAGGCCTCTTCTTCTGTCAAAAGTTCACCCTTGTACTCAAGGAGAAACTCTCCCTTCATAAACTCCTTTGTTGAAAACAGCCCATCCCCTATAAAGAGGGAAAATGAGAAATAGAGAGAGAAAAGCTTACATTTAGCCATCAACGCACATCTTTACTGGGAAATAATAATAATTAACATAGTGTTCAGGTAAAACAATGATATAAATAAAATTCAAAAATATCTCACTTGTTGGTAGACTCTTTGGAAAATCTTCCTGGCAGATACACATAGAGTCAGTCATGAGACAATAAAAATGAAATGTTGAACAAACATGTTTTTAGCTCCTTCTGAAATACATCTATGTTTGACTGAGCAAGGAGAGTACCAGGAAGAGAGTTCCAAAGAGTTGGTGCAGCACAATGGACCTATCATCGTAAGACTTGTTTCTACTAATATTCACTACTAACAAGTCTTGCAAGACAGATCTAAGCGCTCTGGGTGGTAGATATCGGACTACTAACTCAGACAAGTAAATAGGAGCAAGACGATGGACAGCCTTAAATGTGAGCAGGATAATTTGTAGTGAGTGAATAGGAAACCAATGGATCTCTCCTAAGATGGGGGTGATTGTACTGTACTGGATATACATGTAAATACAAGATGGGGGCAGAGTTCTCAGTTCTGAATTCTTTGGAGTTTGGACACATCTTTTTCCTGAACACCGAAGAGAGGATTGTTTGAGACAAATGAGGCACATCAGTATGGTAGCATTATAAGTTACATGCAAGTTTAAACATTAATCTGATATATACACGCACATAATACAAACATACAACAGAGGAAAGCCTGAGGTTAGATACCCAATGCTATATGACCAAGTTCCAGCATCAATCTAACACTCATTACCAACATAAAACAGAGGACTGTCCAGAGTTAGATAATCAATGTTATATCCAGTTCAAATGTCACTGTGATACACACACAATACAAATGTACAACAGAGGACAGTCCGCAGTTAGATAGTTAATGTTACAAGCAGTTCCAAACACCAATCTGACACACATTACAAACATACAACAGAGGACGGTCCACTGTTGGATTGTTAATGTTACAAGCAGTTCCAAACACCAATCTGACACACATTACAAACATACAACAGAGGACGGTCCACTGTTGGATTGTTAATGTTACAAACAGTTCCAACACCAATCTGACACACTTTAAAAACATACAACAGAGGACGGTCCACTGTTGGATTGTTAATGTTACAAGCAGTTCCAACACCAATCTGACACACATTACAAACATACAACAGAGGACGGTCCACTGTTGGATTGTTAATGTTACAAACAGTTCCAACACCAATCTGACACACTTTAAAAACATACAACAGAGGACGGTCCACTGTTGGATTGTTAATGTTACAAGCAGTTCCAACACCAATCTGACACACATTACAAACATACAACAGAGGAAGGTCCACAGTTGGATTGTTAATGTTACAAACAGCTCCAACACCAATCTGACACACTTTACAAACATACAACAGAGGACAGTCCACAGTTTGATTGTTAATGTTACATTCAAGTTCCCATATCAATCTGACACACATTACAAACATACAACAGAGGACAGTCCACAGTTTGATTGTTAATGTTACATTCAAGTTCCCATATCTATCTGACACACTTTGACAAACATACAACAGAGGACGGTCCACTGTTGGATTGTTAATGTTACAAGCAGCTCCAACACCAATTTGACACACTTTAAAAACATACAACAGAGGACGGTCCACAGTTGGATTGTTAATGTTACAAACAGTTCCAACACCAATCTGACACACATTACAAACATACAACAGAGGACAGTCCACAGTTTGATAGTTAATGTTACATTCAAGTTCCCATATCAATCTGACACACTTTGAAAAACATACAATAGAGGACGGTCCACTGTTGGATTGTTAATGTTACAAGCAGTTCCAACACCAATCTGACACACATTACAAACATACAACAGAGGACGGTCTACTGTTGGATTGTTAATGTTACAAACAGTTCCAACACCAATCTGACACACTTTAAAAACATACAACAGAGGACGGTCCACAGTTGGATTGTTAATGTTACAAACAGTTCCAACACCAATCTGACACACATTACAAACATACAACAGAGGACAGTCCACAGTTTGATAGTTAATGTTACATTCAAGTTCCCATATCAATCTGACACACTTTGAAAAACATACAATAGAGGACGGTCCACTGTTGGATTGTTAATGTTACAAGCAGTTCCAACACCAATCTGACTCACTTTAAAAACATACAACAGAGGACGGTCCACTGTTGGATTGTTAATGTTACAAGCAGTTCCAACACCAATCTGACACACATTACAAACATACAACAGAGGACGGTCCACAGTTGGATTGTTAATGTTACAAGCAGCTCCAACACCAATCTGACACACTTTAAAAACATACAACAGAGGACGGTCCACAGTTGGATTGTTAATGTTACAAACAGTTCCAACACCAATCTGACACACATTACAAACATACAACAGAGGACAGTCCACAGTTTGATAGTTAATGTTACATTCAAGTTCCCATATCAATCTGACACACTTTGAAAAACATACAATAGAGGACGGTCCACTGTTGGATTGTTAATGTTACAAGCAGTTCCAACACCAATCTGACACACTTTAAAAACATACAACAGAGGACGGTCCACTGTTGGATTGTTAATGTTACAAGCAGTTCCAACACCAATCTGACACACATTACAAACATACAACAGAGGACGGTCCACAGTTGGATTGTTAATGTTACAAACAGTTCCAACACCAATCTGACACACATTACAAACATACAACAGAGGACAGTCCACAGTTTGATAGTTAATGTTACATTCAAGTTCCCATATCAATCTGACACACTTTGAAAAACATACAATAGAGGACGGTCCACTGTTGGATTGTTAATGTTACAAGCAGTTCCAACACCAATCTGACACACTTTAAAAACATACAACAGAGGACGGTCCACTGTTGGATTGTTAATGTACAAGCAGTTCCAACACCAATCTGACACACATTACAAACATACAACAGAGGACAGTACACAGTTTGATAGTTAATGTTACATCCAAGTTCCAACATCAACCTGACATACACATTCTAAATATACAATAGAGGACAGTCCAGTTAGTTAATGTCACATCCAAGTTCAATGTCAATCTGCTAAACATATACAATACAAACATACAACAGAGGAACGACCAAAGTTATAGGTAATTAGTTACATCCCAGTTCCAATGTCAATTTGATATACATGTACAATACAAAACATACAACAAAGGACAGTCCACGGTTTAAATAGTTGATGTGTCTGTGAAAGGGGGGGGCGGGGCGTTAACACATGATCACACACAATGCGAACATACATCAGAGGACGGTCCATTATTCACTGTTTGGTATGTGATTCAGTATTATACATGAGATGGAATGACAGCAACATGAATGAGATAAATAGTTATAAACATTAAAGACAAAACATCAATAAGTAAACACAATAATGAATATATGATGACAGAATCATTGATGAATCAGGTTCTGAACATGTTTCTACATGTATATATGAAAAACTCACCAATCTCCTGACTAATGAAACAGGTTTCAAATCCATCCGGATCAGGTCCACCGAGGTGTTTTGCATAATTATTGTCTGGAAATCGCAAAGAAGAGAACACATACAATATGATTAATTCATTTTCCAATTATATCACAGCGAGACAAAAAAAAAAAAAAAAAAACAGTGCAAAAGTAACTTATCAGTTGGTGGAAATTTTTATAATTTACTCCACTGGGCCGATGGACAAAATTAATGAGACAGGAAGTAGTAGAGTGACGGTACCCTACTAAAAAGTACTATTGTACTAAACACATATATAACGTCCCAAAAATCAACTGAATCATCATCAATTGTCCATGTAAAGGGCCTGATTTCAAAGTCTTTATCTTTCTTACCTGTTTTTTGCCAATTGTATTATCTTTCTGAGAGTATTTTTCCTAAAAACAAAGACAGTATAATATACACTTTCTCACAAGTTTCACTGCAATTCAACAAGTGCATAAGCGCTCGTGCCTGGCTGAAGTTCGCCGTATGTAGGGTACTCTCCACGCGCGAGTCACGGGTAGCTAGCCGCGTAGGCTGCCGACGCCAAAGTATGGGCACACTTATGAACTAGCGCCCTAAAAAGTTACAGGCTTACTGCAGAACATGTAACGTTAGGCCTAACTAACTTAGTAAGTGGCTATTGAGTAGCTCTGACAGTTAACTTAGGCCTATTCTACACCAAAACACGATGGAAGTTATTTTACATACCAGGTTCTGATGAAGCGACGGCGTTACCGCGTCGACGTCGACGATGAGGTCGTTCAGCCATCGTCGGCTTGATCGAGGACGTTGCAGGCAGCTAGCTAGCATGCAGGACATGCTGCGCTGATGATGAATCGCGCACGCGCACGTACCGTATACAGGCCATAGATATACTACGTGCAGTGTGTAATGGGCTGTTCGAACGCTGACACTAGATGGCGACATTCACTTCGATGCACACACTCTCGTTCCATTTCGTACAGTTTCGCACACTGCAAACGCACTCTGAAAATGAAATTCACGTACAACTGCGGACGATCGCTCGTTTGCTCTCATAATTATAGAGCGCCCTCTCTGGCATGAGAGAAAGCATAATTAACTCTTATTTGGAAACGAGGACCGTCCCCCATAGAAGGTAGGTCCGCGGTTAGAAGGTTATATTTTGTCAGTGCGTCCTCGGTTAAACCCTTTTACAAACGCACACCAACACACACACACATAATTATTATATACATATAAATAGTACCCTTGCCTCTCTTTCCAAATTTAATACATGTATCATATTTTTTGTTTTAGAATATAGACATCCGCTCAAGTTGTGTGCCTTCCCTCTCTTTTCCTCTTTGTGTCTATTTTTATTATCCATCTCGATTTTTCACTCACAATATTTTCATGTTCCTTATAAGGCTCATTTTCTTTTCAACTCTCCAAAGTCCGATCTTTTGTCATTAAAAATCTCCCCCCCCCCTCCCCTTTAGCAACCGCTCTTTTTAAATTTTTTTTTAAAAATTTAGAACATGTAGATGGTTTAATTCTTTTGTACTTTATCCACGAACATTTCCATACCGCTTGGTTGTAGGTATATCTAGTGACAAGAATGGTGTGAGGAAAACAGATCCAATTCCATCGTAAGTGGCGTGACGTCATAATCTTAACATTTGCATTTCCCACTCTATTATGAATAGTTACTGCATGCTTTTTAATATCAGGCCTAGAATATTATGAGTCAATCGTTGACAACAAATTTTCAATCACAAATTCATGATAACGTATAACTTTGTTCCATGATTATCAGAATAAAGAGGTCTAGTTTCTTTTTTCATAATTTTGCAACCTAAATTGGTTTCGAGAAATCGCCTGATGTATCATATCCAGTCACGTGGTTGACAACCCTCGATGATATGAAAAATTAAGCTGTTTTGGTCATCAATCAGTCAATGAAAAATAGATTATTTGCAGTGAAATCAAAGATTTTGATTAACAAAATAATTTCGTATATTTTCTTTTCACGAATTTCATTTTATGTAGCATTTAGTTATTAGCCAACAGATTCTGGGCCTGTAACACAAAGGTTTGCAATCAATTGCAAAATTACAATGGCCAATCAAGATCATCGTTACAGAGCTCACTGATGTGATCATGTACGTAAGACCTGACATGGATTTAAAGGGATGTGGTAACATTGTTCAACTGAGAGAAAATGGTGCTAAGGTAGTGACTTCAATGTTAGATGTACAATTAAAGATAATCTGAAAGTTTGAGTGAAAACAGACCAATATTGAAAATAAAAATTAGGAAAAACTGATCTAATCGATTCCTTGATTCTCCCAACTATATTTTTACATTTAATTACATTTTAAGTGAATGGAAATCGTCATAAAGCAATGAATTGGCTCTATATACTAGTACAGCATTCCAGACATTTCAGTGTTGAAAGTTTTTTTTAAAAGCCTGTCTTATGTCTTATTTTCATGGAAAAACGGTTTGGAAAATTCAAAAATGGTTGGGAGAATTTACTGTTAGACGCCTTCAAAAAAACCATAAATATCTATATGGTTTTAAAAAAAAAGAAGATTTTTTGCATGTTAGAGGGTCAGTATATTAGAAGGATTATAATAAATAACATTTGATAAGAAAAATTACGCAGTTTTTTCATCAACCTTCACTTTAAAAGGAGGAACAGACAAAATCTGTCGATTAAAACATTTTCCCGATTATTATTCTCGCACCATCAAAGCGACTTCAACCGATCTCTTCATGGCCATTAAAGTTGAAGTTGAGTTCTGGTCATGCAATTGTAATGTGCAAGAAACAGTGTGGAATCAATCAGAAAAGGTTGATCATCTAGCATGTAGTAGCCTATTGGTGTGTAGTGCAAGATTCTGGAATCAGCCAAATACTATGAAATTTGGCCCAGTCTTGGTAAAGTTACAAGCACTGCACACAGAAAGATGTATATGGGGCTACATGAACATGTGGCATAAAAATCCGTCCCGATTGTTATGTTGTTGCATCACTTGCATGCCATATTTAGAATATGAAAGCATTTGAAGAGCCATGCTTTTCAGGGATTTTTTTTTAGCTGATGTTCTTCCACACTTGCATAATAACAATGATAACGCTCACAAATTATTTTTCACTTCTTCTCATGCAGTCAGAACTCACCTTCTCTTTAATTGGGGGTAATATCATTTTATTTTATTTTTGGGGTTCGGTTTTGGTATCGGCCTCGTCAATGTGACTATGGTCTGAGTTCGGGGATTCATCTGTCTGCATTCTTCTCTCATGGCATTGTCTTAACACGGGTAAATGTTTACTGCTCTATGTCACTTTACACGTGTACACGTGTGACTTGGCAGCGGATTGCGCGGGTTTGGAAACTGAAGTCGCGGGATAAAAAGAAGCTTCATGCGCGTTGACTGATGGCCAGGTATGGTATCTTTAAGAATCTGATCGCGGCTGTGATTGCCTGTATTTATCGCTCCTTCGGGAAAGCATACACGGGGGACGGGCACATTAAAACACGAGATGGGATACCGTCAAAAGAAAATGTTTGCACCACACGACGCCGGAGTATTTTGTCGGATTTATGGGATTCATTCCAGGATTCGCAGTCAAAGGGAATTAACAGCCAAAGATATTATTTTGACTCAAGTCGTACATTAACGATACTTTCCTCTCTTTTTTTTTTCCACATAGAAATAGGCCTACCTTCATTTCACAAAAGAAAAACAAAAAGACGACAACTTGTGTCGTCATATGTACTCATAAAACTTATTCTTCATTTTTTAGTCATGTTATGAAACGATTGCAGAATCAAGTGAAGACTACGAACTGATGTGCAAAATATATTTGTAAGAAGAATTTGTAAAAATGCAGGGCTTTGTTTTTAAGTAGTACTTAACCCTTGACGAAACAACTCTTACGACATAATGATAAAAATATGCCGCATTGCTTGATATTGCCTGATTAGCAAATATTTAAATGCTCTTGTTTGTTCGTTATACATTATGTCATACAAATCATTTTTTGTAAATACATGTGCTGTACTTAACTGCAGATGGGAACATACGGCTCACCAAACTGCTTTAAAGCGACTGAGACATATAATTGAGAATATCTTTACGGACGGCTGTAGCAGCCAATGTTTTTGAGGACTGGATCGAAACACAGCGATGGAATACGTGTACCGGTGCGTGTAAACATTTTGCTCAGCTGTCGTTCTGAAAGTGATTTTATCATCGTTGAAACGGTCCTCATCCTCAGTTGTTAAGCGAAATGTGAATCGCTTTGTAACTGCGAGCAAAAGGCTCACACCAAGTAGTTTGTGGAGTAGATTGAAATATCCTTTCAAAATAAGAATTAGTAAATCGTTGAATGCTGTACATATTTTTTCCCATTCGCTCAACGTATCGTAACCATTATTGCAAAATTAGAATAGTGATCATTTGGCAAACCCTACCTATAAATTATAAAACCATGGGCAACTTTCCCACGACGTAGACATGATGAGGCGGTAACTCGTCAATAAATAGAGACACAGCTACACGCGGCTCTCTTACATTTGCCTTGCATTCGGAATAATTAGATATAAAACGGAAACATGTTGTAAACGATAGCTCACGGTGAGGACCACTTCAAATGAAAACGATACACCCATTCAAACAAGAGTATCGATAATCCTGGCGGGAAGTGTAGCACGCCCTCAAGGGGCAGAAATACCATTTTAGGTTTTGAATTGGATATTATGCCGGTTGTAGGGTGAGAATAAGGGCACAGTTTTATTAAATTACTTGTGTTGCATCATTATAAATACATGTAGAATATACTTATACTGTCACAGTACGATTGCTACGAAATTATGATTATATCACAGTGCAATTTCAATAATTCTGCAAATAGGTAAATCCTTGCTTCTTTTCACAAATATATTTTATCAACTTGAATACGATGGTCCTATTTTCCTTTTTTTCCAAGGATGATTTATCTCTTACAATTTTTCTTCTTTCTTCCTTGTAAATTTTCATAAATCATTGAAATATATCAAGACCCTGATCTTTCCTTTTTAATGTTTTATAGTTTATCAGTCTCGGAAAAAACGACTTTCCTCTTGTAACCTACCTATGTTGAGTGAGGGGGTACCTTTTGTGTCTCACTCTCATCGTCTTAGGTTGTGGTGATATTTTTTGTCTCGATATAAGAAGATTCAAATCAGCTCAAATAACCAGCTCCAAATTCTATTATTCCATAATCATTTATCACCCGTCATCAAAATATCTTCCATTAATCTAAGCACCGATGACTCTATACAACCTACTTGGATGCGTTGCCGGCTCTCCGTTGCCTCCAATGGCGATGGGCACTCTGCTAAACGTGTAATTGTTTCCACGGCCTTCCATCACCTCTCCACATGTCATACATCTCCCCCACCCCCTCGGGTAAGATACATACCGAGTAGCTGTCGCGGCAGAAGCAGACGATTAATTAAGCGCGGGAAACTATCAGACGGAGAGTATCGCGGGAGGCGAGAATTATCGTCTGCGTGTGAAAGGAGGCGCTTGATTGGCCAACAACCATAGAGTTCATCTTAAATACATGGACAGGAAGCAAAGATCGCATGTGTGGCAGACATTGAAGTCTGCGTGTAGCATTGCAATGTGATTATGTTTAAAGCCACACTGTCCTACTTGTAGCTACTTGCTCCCTCTATATAGAAAACTTCCCCAATCGGTACCTGTTGGTCCTACATGATCCTCTTTTTCTTATGTTAATTGAGAGCTGAGATAG